TCACCTAACAACGGCAGTAACTGAAGATATGGTAAAAAAATCGAAAAAATTGTTTTATGTGTCACGGTCAGTTTTGTAGCCGAAGAAACAAAGATTTTGACTGATGGTATGCATAGCATTTGATACAAATATTTGGGGATGAACAAAAACTATCCACACGCCGCGTCCCCAGAATACTCATCGATGCACAAAAATAAACTAGGCTCACCATTTCTCGAACTTCTTTGAAACTGTTACAATAAGATCTCGACAGTTTTGTGGCTTGATTAACAATCACGAATGGAACATGGGTGCACCATTACGATCTAAAAACAAAATTACAGTCTATAACTTGGAAAAGACCATCATCTCTAACCCCTAAGAAATTTAAGGAGAATCGTTTTGTCGGAAAGATCGTGAGTTCCCTTTTCTGGGATAGTAAAGGGGTGGTCATGATAGAATATCTCGAACGGGGAGCTACTGTTGTGGGCTCTTTGTATCGAGAATAAATAAAGAAAATTGGGTAATCAAATTCATCAGAGAGGGTGAGACAAACCAGCAAAAATTGTTTTCTTTCAACAAAATAACGCCTCGCCTTACAGGTCCGCTGTTGCTATGACTGTAATTCGAGATGCTGGTTTCTAAATACTTGAGAATCCTCGATATTCACCCGATCTTGTCCCTAGTGATTTCTATTTATTTTTAATGTTGAAGAAGTATTCGAAAGGATAGAGATTCGAGGATTATGAAGAAGTAGTCGCTGCACAAGAAATTTTTGGTGCTCAGAATGGAGAGTTTTTAAGAAAGGGATTTTCTCAGAAAATTTTCTCAGACTTTAATAAAAAAGTAATACCAAATGTAGAAAAAAGGTGACAATCTAAATCTACACATATAATAAAACTGTAGAGGTCGAATGTCTGATCATAGAAAAAAAAACGCTAAAAACCGAGTCAGGGGGATGTTAAAAGTGAAGTAGAACATACTAGATTTTTTTCAATTTTTTTGTTTCTCTGTCTGTTTGTCTGTTTGTACGGGCTAATCTCCGAAACTATTGGACCGAATTAAATAAAATTTTGCAAGGTGGTATTTTACATCCCCGGTCAACATTTTAGATACTTTTAATCACGAAAAATTAAAGAGTTCCCGTGGGATAACTAAATAACTATAGTAATTTATGCAGCTTAATACAGCTATGCAAAATAAGACAAATATAATATAATGTAAATACGATTGGAATAATCTATACACATAATGAAACAGTAAAACCGAGTGTGTCTGTACATCGAAGGTACGTATGAAAAATTGAGAAGAAACGATAAGAGAAAGGTAATATAAGAGAAACCAACCATTTTTCAAATGTTTTGTGAATGTCTGTTCGTGCATATCTCTGAAGTCACAGAACAGATTTTAATAAGATTTTCACGGGTAGATAGAGCTTGGCTTGGATCAGAAATATAGGCTACATTTTTATTTAAATCAAATGTTAGGAAAAAAGTTTAACCCAAGGGTGGAGAGTGGTAGTGGGAGATTGGAATCGACAGCAAGGTCTTTCTATATAAAAGTTGAAGTCCACGTGGGCGAAGCTGCGGGCAAAAAGCTAGTATAAAATAACATTTAATCAAAGTTAGCAGCACCATACTCATTCTCAATTTTCATCGAATGCCCCTTGTACACATCGTGAAAATTAATTTGTCTTGTGCAAAAATAGTAAAATGCACTTGAGCTTCATATAAAAAAGTCTTGTATTTGGATATTACCCATTCAAATTATATCGTAAGTTTTTCATTCTAAAAGTATATTTTCAGGGTTTCATACATTTATAAAAACGAAATTTCTTATACGATTATCTGTATTTTAATTTTCCGTCTGTCACTGTCTATTTTGTTAAAATGTATTGAACAGACAAAATGCGAAATTCGTGTATATGTAGAGTTAAGTAATCCAATCATAAACGTGTAGTGTAAATAAATTGTAGGTTTTTTCTATTTTCTTTAAGAAAAATTAAATCATTTACGTGAAAAGATTTTGTTTTTATATTTTCCGATTTAATTAACCGCTTTGCATGCAATTGAAAGCGATTGCTTGAGGGTTGACCTTCGAACCCACTTGTATGCTGGGGCACCCCGGAAGGTTTTGTTTTTAAATTTACTTCTCTGATTTATAATGCACAACTTGAAATTGTCGCATATTTTATATTAAGATCGCTTCCTACGAATTAGCCAGTGATGTGGTGACGACCTAACGGTACTAACATGTGCACAAGTGTCAGCGGGTGCACCCCACCCTGTGTCTGGGGCACTTCAATGTACAATTTTTTATATTGTAATTGTTGTTTTTTTTAGCTTATTGCGATTATTAAACTGTCACACTTAATGTAATAATTATAGTTTAAATAACATAAATAAAGCCAATAAACCTGACATAAAATATCGTCATAAGTTCCGTAAGGAATTGGGCCTGAATCTATGTGCGAGATCCAGGCCCAATATGCCGGAAGCGTACAAACGTCAAGTTTGAGGAGGGATACAAAAGACAATATTTCGGCGATCCTCAGAAAACCTATGCTTGTCGATCGCCGTGGGTTTAAACGTTATTTTCAGGGGCGTTGTGGTTTCTATTCAAGAAACATGGATCGAAAAAGCAAGACCCAGTGTAAGGTGCAAAATTCAAATTTACTTGGAACACCAAGACAAAATATGCCAAAAAATGCCTAAAATTATATGTTTTATTAAAATTATAAGCTGATTTGTGATCTCAATGTAAATTAATATGAATAAAGGAATAATTTTCGAAAACTACTTTTATATATATTATTAATGGACTATTTAGTTTTACGGTACAGTACGCCCGAATCATCTTGATCGGGTTGAATTTAGCCGCGAGTTGCGTTGCAATAACCACAATCGGGTTTTAGCGGAAAGTTTGCGGTATGAGGGGACAGGGTGACTGCTTGCTACCTCTCTCTGTAGCCCGTGTTTTTTGTTAAGTGTACAGGCGCGTAGTCGCACTCGCTTCAACTTCAGCTCAGTTAAGATCTTCTGAGCGTGCTGTATGTACGTCGTTACCCCCGTATACACCAGCAAGTGTAAGGTACTAATGTTAAATCTGATCAGACTTTAAAATGGATAGGTTCAACGCCTTTTTAATAATTAGAAAAACAATTCATTAAATTATAAAAAAAAAATTTGAGACTGTATCAAATCTAAAGAACCTAGATTTGTAAGCCCCATCTTAATGAATTGATTCGTTTAGCAATCATATAAAGTTAAAAGACTGTTTTGGAATTTTTTTCTAATACCAATTTATTAAATTGAGAATTTTCAATGGATTTTGTTAATTGAACGCAGGTTTTAGACGATGTAAGTTTTCGTAAATGATCAGTTTAACACTTTGAACAAAAAATTGAAACAAAATATTGAACATAAAATTAAATAATATGGTGTAAGTGTATACTTTTTTACAATTCACTGTATCTTTTGCAATATCGAACATTCGATATAAAAATGTAAGAGGACCTCAAACAGTAATCTAAGTAAGTAGATGTCTTGATATAAAGCAGTAATTATATATCAAGATGAATTTCAAAAAAATGTAATAGAAGTAAGATGAATTTTAAGTCGGTACCTGCGCATTCCAGCATCGGTCTCTATTCTCTCAGAAATGGAAAAAAGCGCAGAAACACATTGACTTTTATTGTAATAAGATCGGCATTGTTTTTCAAAGCAAGATTACTTACCAGATCTGACGAACTATAGCGCCGTTTTTAACAGCTATGTCTTTTTTTTACTTCTTGTGTGTTGTGTAAGTTTGTGCGAATTGCAGGCGAAGGTAACTAAAATGTTGATGGTGTTAAAAAAATGGAGTATGAAAGTAAGATTAAGAGTCAGTAAGATTAAGGTCATGGCATTTGAAAGAATAGCCAGCAAGAGTAAATGCAACGTAGAAGGTTTGAGAGTCGAACGAGTGAATGTTGTGTGTGGGCACATAAAAGAGAGATTGAAAGGACAGTAAAGTGGAGAAATTAATTGAATGCGGCCTTGTTTGCTACCATGGACAGTAAAAGTGTCTAAGAACTAATTGAGTTCTAGTCCCTATGCTTATACAGTTGTGAAAGTTGGATATAGCATAAGAAATATAAAAGAAAAAAATATAGCGATTTCTGCTAGTAGTCTTTGAAAGATGCTGGAGTGAGTGCCGCCAGAGAGCGGTGTGGTTTCAAACATGTAATGATATGTTGGGATGATTTGGCCATCTGGAAAATATTATTGAAAGTAGATTCATACAACAAATTTATATATGATACATTAAATTTAAGGGTCGGCAAGGTACCCTAATAAATCTCATGCAGACCAACTTTGTGATATATTTTAAAAAATATTAAATTTTAAACATCTGAAACTAACTAGCCCGACTTACTTGACGAGATAAAACGATTGATAGATGTCAGTGAAGCATGAAGAATGCGCAAAGATAATGATAATACCATGTGAAAATCTGTGGTCTCAGCTCCTCATTTCGGAAAATAGGTTGGAACAATAAACATCCTTTTTCTATACGTAAATATATTTTATGAATTAAATAATAACAATAAAATAAATTAAAATGTTTGAAAGTAGTTAAATAAATAATAACAATAATATAAGTGATATTAAAGTTGTTTGAAAGTTGTAAACAAACAGTTATTTTATTAAATACTTTAAGTTCATCAATTTTCACAATTATGTAATTATGAAATCAGTAATAGATGTCACTTTCACATGTTCGAAAAGTATTTGTTTATTGAAAATTTGAAATTGCATACTCTTCAGAACTGAAACAATCCAAGATAATATTTTAGGAAAAAAAATGGGATTTATAAAGTGTACACAAGCACAATGAAATAAATGAACATCCTTTGACAGTAAAGAAACGGAAAATAAAACACAAAGAATGAAGGAATGGTAATACAACATTGTAATAAAAATTTTAATTAATATTATATTCTAAATTACCATAAAAAAACGCTACACCAAAAAACGCCAACATCACGCGATGTTCTCACGCGGTCCCCCATCCAAGTACTGACCGCATTCGACGCTGCTTAACTTCAGTGATCGGATAAGAAGTACATCCAGCCTAATATGGACGTTGACAAACAAATTTTTAAAAATATTAACTAAAGCAAGTTGTTGCTTTGACGGCGCAACGAAAAATGCTGATTGTTGAGTCAGCATTTTTCGTTGCGGTCACATTTTTTTTTCATGTAGCTCCCATCCGCTGAGCGCCTGCATGTAACGTGCGATGAGGAACTTCGTTCTAATAAAAAAAAATAATGTAAGCGATGATGTTGCAAGCTTCTTTTTCATCAAAGAAACTATACCTACAAAGTTTTGAATTCATAAACAATTTTAAAAACTTACGTGATAATTAAGTTGGTAGATGATAAGTCATTAAAAGAGGATCATAATAAAAATGAAAATGTGCAAAATACATAGTTGTTTTATTTTTCTTTCTCTAATTTCCGTACTTAAAATAGGGTTTAAGAATGGGAAAAGTCCTTTCAATTTTAACCTAAAAAAATATAACACTACTATAACAATACTGCGACGTTTCGAACAGAAAATAGTAATTAAATTGTCAGTTTCGAAAGGAAATTCAAATTAGTAAACATCAATATTAATTTTGAGTTATAACAAAAGTTTTGATCTTTTTTGTAAATCTTCGAACCTCAATTTAAAATTATTAAAGGGCTTTATCTATAGTTTCTGGTAAACTTAAAAGTTTTGCGACCCTAGTACCCGGAATCGTGTCATAAATTCGATACTTTAATTTGTTATCTGACAAGTTGCTGTAGTCACGTATCAAACAAGATCTAAAACCCGGAGCTTTCTGTAGCTTTTAACTTTCCAGCTGAAGGGGTGCAAACACAAAGCTACGTCTATTCCATTATTCAGCGAAGGGACGATTTAGCTGTCACGCGATCCCTCTATTATCAGTGTAAAGATTTTATTTCAACAAATAACCGTGTATCTGATATGATTATCCGTTATTTATTCGAATTGGTCGAGCTATTACGTGTGTGTTAATTTGTTTATTTTCATTATGGTGGGGATTTTAGACGAATTATTTTCTAATATTTGTAGCGTCAATGCAATGGCACGAACAATAAGAAAAAATATAATATTTGAAATCATCAGAGAATGTAAATCAAGCATTCCAGACTGCTACTACCGCTATTTAATTTTAGAGTCTTGGCATATGTATTTTTGATTTTGCGCTATTAAAATTGCAAAATGTTCATAAAATTGGAAAATCACTGTTTTTAATCCGATTTCGTAAAATCGAGTTTCGTTCAGATCTTGACGTTGTGTGTGTGTGTATGTGTGTGTGTGCATGTACGTCTGTGTATGCATGCGCGTGTGACAACAGTTCAATTTCTTTGCTATTTTAAAGTTCAAACTCTTCAAAAATATAATACCTTGCAGTAAATTATTAAGTTTGAGCTTAAAAATTTCTCTAAGACGCTTAAGCCTCAAGAACTTTTTCAAGCTTTCCGAACTCAAAAAAATAATATTATTGCCTTTTTCGTTCTTCTAGTTTCGTTCATCTGAATTTGTTTAAAAAAATGATATATTTTTAATTGCTCAGCAAACATGTTTATCGAGTGCGTTGTTAGATTTTGATTTGCTCTGTGGTATTCAACGCTATTTTTTAGTAAAGAAAGTTGACCGATACCAAACATCAATCCACCAACAACATTAATGCAACAATCTATGTTGCTTTTGAAACAGAAGAGCTAGTTAGCTTTTGAAACTTATCGTGGAGTGGTGTAAGACATATTCTAAAAAAAATAGTAGTTTTTACAACACGTATACACATTCACGCACACTTACGATCGACGCTTAAACAATGCAAATAGTTAGATTTTAAAATTTATCGGTACTGTAGTTTAAAAAATATTCTAAGAAAACACTTTTTGAAAAAATTTCTTTCAGCAATGTTTTTTGAACAAATCAACCATTTTTATGCAGTTTGTAGCAGTCGATGGAACTACTTGGGAAAAAGAGCTTATTAGATTTTGAAATCGATCGATATAGTAGTCTTAAAGTTATTTCGAAAACACATTTTTCTGAAAAATTTGTTTTTGAGATTGCACTAAATCTAGCGGCAAAAACTTGTTCAAAGCTTCAGAAAATCTAAATAGAGTTTATTCATACATTCCTTTTGAATTTTCAAACTTCGTTTCGATCGGTTAAGCCTTTCCAAAGAGACTCACACGCAGGCGTACACAAGCACGCACATGCACACGCATACGCGCACGCGAACACAAACATACAGACATCACTCGAAGAATGATGGTAATAAACCCTTAGGATCCTATAACGTCAAGTTACAGTGAAAATTCGATTTTCAAAAATGTGGGTGAAAATAGTACCTTTCCAATTTTATGAAATTTTTTCAATTTTCATAGCGGCAAGTTAAACATCACTTTTAGTCGTGTACTCATCATGCGTGTTATGATTTACATTTTTATAAAATAATAATAAGTATGTCATATCAGGTTTGATCATTACACTTTCGAGGTTGTTATTTTCATTAACGGTCGTTACCATCAATAGGACGACAGTCTCAGGCACCGGCACGGCGGCTTAACGTTTTATTCGAGATACGGAATATATTGTATGATTTCGCTTTAATTAAAAATTTATTCGATAATTCTCCCTTATCCAAGATCGAACTCGATCTACATAATTAAATAACTAAAATAATGTTTTTGAGTACGGAGTACCAGAGCGGAGAATGGGCATTGCAGTCTACCACTATGAGGCCCTTGCTTACGTGTAGAACATTCGGCACCCTCTTGAGGTGGTCCAGGTGGACGTCTATCTGATCGCTGTACTGAAAGTAGCACGAAATATCGTAAACATTTTGAGGCTCGATATGCCCGACTAGGCAGTGAGGGCCAACAGGTGTGCAAGTACTATGATTGCAATGTTATTCTTTACAACCAATAGTTCAGCTTTGGATATGGACTTTTTGTCTTCTTCTGTCTTTTTATGGACTTTGGACCTTTTTGCAATAAGTGTACCGAGTTTGTGTACTGCTCTTGCACTATTACAATGTCCAGCTCCAGGCGCCGTGTCACGCTAACCAGCTTCCAAGTCAAAACCTCGGAGCCGCCCAAATTCACCTGCCCTACATTGAAATACTACAACCTAACCATAACGGGTAATCGAAACCTTCCGCTCTTCTGCGTATTTTTGGGCCGGATATTCCCGCGATGCCGTCCTATGCGTCTGCGGTTTGTTACGCTCGAACCGGTAGCAGGTGGCACACCGTAAAATACTAGCTATGCACTCCTCGCTCTTATGGCCATTTTTACCACACTTACCACACACCATATATTTAGCTCGACAATGTATAACCGGGTGCCTATATTCATTAGCACCTATGGTCCAGCCCAGATGCACCTATGGCAGCGGGTCATGTTCACGTAGTCGCATACCGGGATGGCTTCCCAGCCCACGAAGACGCGATCCATATTCACCAAGCTATTTCGCAACTCCGGATCACACTCCAGAATGATGTTGGTAATTGACTTCACGCGTCTCGATCTCTTGAAAGCTATCCTACATGATTTCCCGAAGTGCTAAAAAGACCAGTCGGGATACTTTATGCGGATATTCTGCTCATATAGGGCATTAAGACGGTATCGCCGTCCGAATCGTCCATCATATTCAATAATGCCACAAGAGGCCTCTTAGATGTTACGACAACTCCGTCTTGACCGACCTTGCGCACTTTCGCTATCTGAACCTACATTTTTATCGGATCAATAGTGCTTTTAAGCACCTGCTCAGTCTCCTCCGCCGTTTGGATGCTATCCTGCTGCTTAATGCGACAATATTACAGAATTTTACTGAATACTAATATATGTTAACAGTAAGTAAAATTCTGATACATATCAACAATATACAATGACACTTATAAACAGTCTTCAAAAAGTTCCTATCGTAAGTAATTATAGAATATTCCGCACTTTTGTTCTAGGAATTTTATTGAATGCAACAATCTCCTATTCTTTTTATTTAAACGCCATTTTTCAGAAAATAATAAAATTGCTATCCTGAAATTATTAAATGGAGTATTGCTAAATAATTTAATAAAAAAATAATCCCCTGATTTTAAAAAGTAATTAATAGTTTTGAAATACGTTAAGTATCTCAACATAATTGATCCGTAAGACGATGTGTGTATGTTCAAATATATTCAAAATCGCTGCACTGATTTTAACGAAATTTTCAGGAAATCGTCAGATTAGCCTAACCTGCGATTTTGTGACGTTTGGCAGCGATTGGATAAACAGATTTTTGTCTTTGTCTTTTTTTTATAGAATTATCGAGGGGTGAATGAGCATGTGAGCTACCAGAGTATAAGGTGAAAACCACTTTCCATGGACACTCGTGACTTCGGAGGAGTCACCAGTGCGTTGCCGACCTCTTGGGGAGGAACATAGATTCGTAATAAAATATATAATGGAGAAAGGAGTGAAGTGATGGAGAGGGAAGGTTTTATAGAAAGAAGTTGTGGGATGATAGAGAGAAGTAGGCCACCAAAAATTTCACACACTGACAGAAATGAAACAACGGAAACTGTTATTTGACGCATGTATTCTGTAAGAGCTCGTCATTGCATGAGTCAAGCCGGCCCATTTACATGCTGCAGCCAAGTTGACCATATCTGCATAGTCTCACAAGGTGACCATAGGTACTATGACTATAGATATCTACTGAAATATCGTCACATGACCGCTCTTAACCATCAACCAGTGTCGTCTGGCCATAGACATTTACTGTAATCCATGCGAAGACTAGTCGAGTCCCTAGTTTCTTACGATAACGAAACACTGAGTAGCATCTTAACTGGAACATGCAATAGATTGTTAAGAATTGTAGCTGTTTTACTGCGAAATATATAATGTAAGCGAATCAAAGAGGAACCATTTTGATTGTTTTAGATGCTGCCCTTGCACACGTACTCCGACAACCCATTCACAACCTTTCTTAAAAAGACTAATACAAATTTTCAAAGTAATTCAAGTTTCGTCGGAATCCTTACTGCCGAAAACGTAACAGCTGTGTGACACGGG